ATGCTTTTCCGCAAAAAGTGCTTTTGCGGAAAAGCGTCCATGCCAATCTAGATGCTCTTTTCCGCAAATGCTTTTAATGGAAAAACTTTTCTGTTAAAAGCATTTGCAGAAAATCATGCCAGTCTAGACGTAGCCTAGGGCTGTCTCTACATTGGCAAGATTTTGCACAAAAGCAGATGCTTTTGCGCAAAATCTTGCCACCTGTCTACACTGGCCGTGAGTATTTGCGCAAGAACACTAACGTTCTACTGTATGAATTCAGTGCTTCTTGCGCAAATACTCTGACGCTCCCGCTCAGGGATAAGCCGTCTTGCGCAAGTATTCTTGTGGAAGAGGCCAGTGTAGACAGGTAACATCAATTTCTTGCGCAAGAAAACCCGATGGCTAAAATGGCCATCGGAACTTTCTTGCGCAAGAGAGCGTCTACACTGGCACAGATGCTTTTGCGCAAAAGCAAATCTTTTGCGCAAAGGCACATGCCAGTATAGACACTCTCTTGCGCAAATACTTTAACACAAAAACTTTTGCGTTAAAAGTATTTGCGCAAAATCATGCCAGTGTAGACACAGCCTAGCAATATAGGGCTCTGTGCCTCAGTTTACTTCCCTAAGTCAACCTGCCCCTCCATATTCTCAGCTGCAGGGAGTTTCCTCCCCATCATCCCCTCTGCCCCACATGCTGGAGAGGCTACCCTAGATCCCTACAGCTGCTGATTATCAGCTTATTGGAGCAGCTCCTTTCTAAAGGACAAAGGATACTATGACCCCAGGAGACAGGGGCATAGAGCCAGGCTGTAAGCACTGAGGTGGGGAGCTCTGATGTGCCACAGTGCTCCAACGGGTGCCATATCCTCTGAGGTCCCTTCCTCCACCATCAACTACAGTGGGATCAAACAGGCCAGACCCAGGGCTTGGGAATGACGAGAGGAGAGCAGTGTCTAAAGGATGAATTCCAGCTTCACCAAGCTGGGTCCACTCCCACTGGAACAATTCTGTGAACCAAGGCAGAGAATAGGCTGGATGGAGGATGTATAATAAGAAAGAGAGAACTGCAATATGCATGGGACACACTCGGCTCCCAAATCATATCGCCCTGCCCTGTCGGTTACCCTCCGCCTGCCCCACATTATACAAAAAAACCCTCTCTGATCCCCGGGTACATCTCACCCCCTGGTCTGTAATTTCTGCTAGTCTGGTGATTTTCAAAGTACAGGTTGTGACCTGATATTGGGTGACAGCAAGCCAGGTCACCTTGCTGTGAGATGCTAAGGCAGCTTCCTGCCTGTCCTGGCACTGTGGACTGCGCTCTGCCCTGGAAGCGTCAGCAGCCGATCTGGCTCCTAGGTGGAGGCAAGTTGCCAACCCTCAAAAGACAAAAAAGCAAACTAAGCCAAGAAATGCAGCCAACCCCATTGCAAACCAAGCCCAGAACGAGCACTGGCCATTTGTGCTCAGCAGAGCCTGGTGACAAACCGGGAACCAGTCATTGGACGTGTGGAGCCAGAGCTGGGGGCAGGGGCAGCCTGTGGAGCTGGTGCTGCTGCTGGCCACTTTGGGGTGCAGCGTGGTGCACTGGGCCAGGACAAGCAGGAGGCCGCCTTTACCATCCCACTGTATCACTGACGAGGAGCAGCTGGAGGTAGGCCTGTGCCCCAGCCCTGAGGCCCTCCTGCACCCCAAACCCATCCTCCCCAGCCCCACTTCATAACCTACCCCCCTGCCCAAAATTCCCACCCACATACTGAATTCAGGCTGGCAGGTCCCTGAGAACTAAAGGGTGTTCGGGGGTGGGGAGCAGTCAACCTAAGCAAGTTGCTCTTTGTTTCTCCACTGAGGGCCTGCCCTGCCCAAAATTCCCACCCACATACTGAATTCAGGCTGGCAGGTCCCTGAGAACTAAAGGGTGTTCGGGGGTGGGGAGCAGTCAACCTAAGCAAGTTGCTCTTTGTTTCTCCACTGAGGGCCTGTCAGTGCTGGGGGCAGGGAGCTGGGGGGGCTAGTCAGG